GAAATATCAAATGACGAGAAACCTTATAAAGAGAAGGGTAAACAACAACACAGATACGAGTAGTTTCTACGAAACCAAACTTAATATTCTTTCCAAAGAAAATTGTACATAACAAGATTTGGAAACGGTGTTATAGTTTTAGTTAGTAGGTAAGTACATACAGATATGACTAATCATAAGATACAGACATAAAACACGATGTTCAGATAGGTAGAGTTTGATGACATTTTGGCTCAGTTTGTAGTAGCTCTACTTGCTGTGCCAAAGATCGGGAGTTCAAGTCCCGCTGGGGGCATTCATTTGTGTGGTGATTACTATATTTATGTCACCTTAGGTTTAGTACAATAAATTAATCACACCAAGATCGTTGCTTGTTTTACCATTTTTTGTAATAGCACATAAACAAAACCATATAAGAACACCTTAATATGGGAACCCCATTTTTTTCTACACTTTTACTATATTTTCTATATTTATTAGGAAATCCGGTGTTAAAATTTTATGAAAAGACTATATTCGAATTGATCTTTAAATATGGAACCCAAATTAAATCGTATTTATTTTTATGAAAACACTAGCATTGCCCGCGGCTCCGCCCGCGTTTAGATGACCAAAAACCAAATTCTTAGGTTTTACATATTAGTATACTCTTACATTGCAGTTTTTGTATTTTTTCTCAGTAATGAGACATTTTCCCGCGGTAAAAAGTATCCTATATGTTGACCCGGATAACCAGCTATCACCATATCAAATTTCATCAAAATCCCTCCAGTGGTTTTTCTGTGATGCGGTAACAGGCAGAGAGACAAACAAACAGAAAGACAAAAATTCTAAAAACTATAGATTCGGCCTTTGTATCGATAATAATGTTTATTTCAATAAGATTTTCCAAAAAATATTTAATGTACAGATTCGGCTTAGTTACAATTTTATTATATGTATAGATAACTGTCTTGTAACGGCAATATCGCCTTTTATTTGATCAAAAGATAACTTACGTTTTTAGGTTATGAGAAAGCAGAATAATTCAGTTCATTAGAGCAAAAAGATTGGTGATTGATTGCTTGACCGCTTCGGTGGTTTAGGTCTGAGGAGACTTTAAAATATCGTTCATTAAAATTGAGATAACTTACAATAACAGAAGATTAACATCTTCCTATAGATGGACCTAAAACTTTCGAGGAAAGCTTTGCAGTACTGATGTTAAAAAAAACTGTTTTGTATTTAAAAATCCATATCCACACTTATATTATAAATGTGAAAGTGTGTTTGTTTGTTTGTTTGTTGACAGAGTGACACATTGACGTGATTTTTTGTGTGGGACTAGTTGGAGGGTTGGAGAGTGACATCCATTGATCGTCCATCGTTATAATTATACAACCCAAAGAATTATTTAGGATCAGAATTACTTGTTTGAAACTCCGCATTAATGCTCTTCAATACATTTAAATAAATACGTATTTTAGCATTTTTCGAAAGTCATCCCAATAGGGGGGTAAAATAGGGGATAAAAGTTTATATGAAACCTACCATTTTAGTTTTTCTGTAGTTCTTGCGCGAGCGGAGTCGCGGCTTACTTCTAGTATAAAACAGTAGTAAAAAAATCAGTAACAAACAATGACTAGTCGTGGTGAAGGGTCCATCAAGACGTCTTACCTTAAAATATGTTTTGCTAAAATTTACATACCTACATTTAATTTTTTCAATATATGTTCTTTTAGAAATAAAATAATAACTTTATTTCTTTCTGCATTAATACGTTTATAAAAATTGTATATTTTTGGAACGGTTTACACATCTGCTAAAATTTCACCCTTCGCCACTATTTTTTGGTCCGTTTTACTGCTCTGTCTCACATTTACTTTATGTTGGTAAACTTTGGCAATTACATAAAATTCCTCCTCAGCTCAGCTGAAACCTTTTCTATTCAATGAACAAGCTGTGCTAATTAAACCGCAAACGTAGAATATAATATATGAATTACGCCCACCTAGGATTTAGTTCGGAGCAGAGTCGAGTTGGCAAATACTCTTCGTGAAGAAGCATCAAATGGTTACCTGAGTCATTAGTGCAGTTTTTTAATTAAAATAGTATAATATTATCAAAATATTCATTTTGTACTTATATTTACTTAAATATTTTTTAATATAGTAACATTTTACCTTTTTCCCATATAAAATACAAGCGGCTCACTCTCGCTTCGCTCGGGTTCGTCGCTTGGTACGTTTTAAATAGATATAGTTATTAGCCAGCGTGAGCCATATTAAATTTAATTATTTTTTTCGTGAATTTTTAATTTTTTCTCTTTATTAAAACCTTCTGTGGACCTTAAGGAGCAAAAAAAAAATAACCGATATAGTCCAGCCATTCTTGAGTTATGCGCTTACCAACATTCATTTTTATTTATACAGATAGATAGACAAGTTCGTTCTTAAAGATACTATTCATAATATAATAGTAATTACGTATAATAGGAATACAAACAAAAACTCGTGTTTCCATTATGCTATAGCTTTCGCAACGCGTTTTGCATGCGTCTGCGTGTTGATAGCCGATAGAAAGTGATGTTTAGACATTGCACGCGATGCATTTTGATGTCATTTATATGTGCGACGAATATAATTTGGGTCTGTTAACTGGTTAACTTACAATGTTATTTAAGTCCACGGTGGGAAATGAAAAATACGTGTAGACACGTTCGTAGATTTAAAAAACACGTTTACGTAACGTAAATTCCTAATGTACACAATTTTTTTTATTTCAAAATATAAGTAGTTCATAATTAAATTAATTCTTAGAGCGAAAATGTATTATATAGTTAACTAGCATTGCCCGCGGCTCCGCCCTCGTACAGATGACCAAAAACCAAATTCTTAGGTTTTACATATTAGTATATATACATTTACATTGCAGTTTTTATATTTTTTTCTCATAAATGAGATATTTTCCCGGTGTAAAAAGTATCGTATATGTTGACCCGGATAACCAGCTATCACCATACCAAATTTCATCAAAATCCCTCCAGTGTCTTTTCTGTGATGCGGTAACAGACAGACAGACAAAAATTCTAAAAACTATAGATTCGGCCTATATATAATAATGTTTATTTCAATAAGATTTTCCAAAAAATATTTAATGTACAGATTCGGCTTAGTTACAATTTTATTATATGTATAAATAAGTATAATATAAAATTATGATAATCAAGATTTAAATAAAATTTAAATAAAGTCAAGATTTACTTAAAATGGTGATAATATTTTAACATAATAAGTTCCCTTTCATTATTATATAATATCACAAATTGTATAAATAAAAAAAAATCTATAATTTTCTGAGATCAAATACAAATTCTATTAAAATACATAACCGTGTATTATTAACTTACTCAAGCGCGTACAACGTAATTAATCGCACAATTCACAGCAATCATTATGCCAACTCGTCTGATCTGCGTATATTTTAATAGTTAATAAATCTGTATGAAATTTTTATTTAGAAACAGGTATATTTTCAAGATTAAAAAATAATAAAACTAGATGTAATAATTAAACCTGTTTTAAAGTGGAAGAAAATTATTATTGATTTTATAAGTTTAATAAAAAGCTAACAGAACGTTCCATACGCTGGTCATGTTCTCACTGTGATTGCACAAAACTTAAATCTGCAGAAGCACGTCTGGTCAAGTCTAGACGAATATATCTAAACTTGTCTAGACAGAATATAACTGGATAATATTTGAAGCTTATCAAACTTTTCAAGTTAAATTTGCTTTTCCTACTTTCTTGTTAGCTGGTTTTCATTGTGTACCTAATAATATCCTATATTATATTTGAGTAAAAAGTTTAATAATGCTCAAAGTACTTACGTATATAAAGAAGCCATGAAGTGAGGTAATACAATGTTCAAGAAATATAATTCCTATCGCAATTCATAAAAAAAGTTTTTTTTTTAATTATGTTAATAATATAAGATCTTATTATATATTTCAAATAACAAAGTAATATATAGTATCAAACAATATAATATACCACTGTATTGTGTATTCTAAATTTAACTAATTATGAACTATTAGAGCAAAAATAATACATTCATTAAATTGGCCAAAATTATTTTTTAATTTAAATTAACTACAATAATAATTAATCTGCAAATAAATAAACACCTTTGTTAAAATTTTATCTGCATTAACATCAACATTCCTACACAATCGCAGTACATATTATGTAAATCCTTTGAATAATAATATAACTTATCGCCCTTCTCTATAATAAATACTTACTTAATTTTACTACGTACTAGCGACTGACCCTCGCTTCTTTCACCCCCTTCAGGAATGGTTGTCGGGATAAAAACTAACCTATATCCTTCCCAGGGTCTCGAACTATATTCTTACCAAATCTCATCTAATCCGGTTCAGTAGTTTCGGAGCCTATTCCATATAAACAAACAAACAAAACAAAAACAATTTTTTCCTCTGTATAATATTATAGAATAGAATAAATAATCATGTACATTGTACAGCATATCTACTTGTACATGTTTTCAAAACATTCTTCGTTTAGATATGCATACTTTATGTTTTTATGTTCTTCTATATATGAGATGGCAAATATAGATTACTAGCCTTGCCCGCGGCTCCGCCCGCCTTCAAATGACCAAAAACCAAATTCTTAGGTTTTACATATTAGTATACTCTTACAATGCAGTTTTTGTATTTTTTCTTAGAAATGAGATATTTTCCCGCGGTAAAAAGTATCCTATATGTTGAGGCGGATAACCAGCTATCACCATACCACATTTCATCAAAATCCCTCCAGTGGTTTTTCCGTGATGCGGTAACAGACAGTCAGACAGACAAAAATTCTAAAAACTATAGAATCGGCGGCCTCTGTATCGATAATAATGTTTATTAATTACAATAAGATTTTCCAAAAACTATCCAATGTACAGATTCGGCTTAGTTACAATTTTATTATACATATGTATAGATTTATTACCTCTTCGTCCTCTGCGATGTACTGAACTGTCGGCCTTGCCTGTGTGGACTCTGTGTTCTGTTTCACGGGTCGCTCCCCTTGATCCAATACTGTAACAAGCATAATAACATCGTTTATTTTTGTGTACAGTTTATTTTTAGATACAAATAAAACAGGTGGGATCGTTTTGATGTCTTAAAGATCATCGCCAAACGGTTATGTTTTTCTTTGTTAAGAAGAAATATTTTCATTTCTTTGTTGGTTTTAAAATATTATTATTAGATCGATAAAAGTGAATGTTACAAGTAAACATGGAACAATGTAGAGTTGCTTGGTTATAGAATGAAATTCCTAATACATCTCTCAATTTAAATACATTTAAAAAATCCCACTAAATAATATATAATGAGTAAAATTACTAACGCGTAAAAAAAATATATTAAGTTTAATGTTCATATTTAGATAACGCTATTTTCGTGGGCATCTTACAAAAAAAAACATTAAAATTTACATATAAGTAGGTATTTTTATTATCGTATTATTAAAAGTAGGTAACAGTTTCCTGCAAAAGGCTTTAATTGTAAAAATAACTTAATAAAAATTAATATGTCTCAATGGCATAGCTTTGCCAACAGAAAGATTACATTTACGATAGCCCCATGAAGCTAAAATCAGCTTTCGGTTTTCAAATGTTTTCGCATTTGGGAACCCAAATGCAATCGTTGCATGATGGTTTCATACATTTATTGGTGTCCAACACGATTCATACATTCTTATAAACGGACGGAAGCTAGCCCGTGTGTCTTCCGTGTCGGAAATCGATCAATCACGGCGAGCCTTAAAATTCCAAAATAAACTTATAAAAATAAAACTTATATTTAACGTAAAAACCTACTACAAACAATCAATCGCGATCATATTTTTTTTAATATTAAACAAATATATAAACGATATAGGTACATACATTTACATATAATATACTAGCAACTCACCCTCGAACCGCTTGGGTTCGTGCCTAGGTTGGACCACCCTTATCACTTAGGTGGTATGAGAAATAGTTTACGTCCTATTCTCAGACCTACTGAATATACATTATACACACAAGAATCGGTCAAGCCGTTTCGGAGGAGTTTTGTTACAAACAATGTGACACGAGAATTTTATATATTAGATTTAAACAACTATATAAATGACTAGCAGAACCCGCGGTTTCGCTCGCACTAAAACTACAAAAAAATCTCTAAGAAGGTAGTTTCATAGAAATTTTCATCCCCTTCGAAAAATGCTAAAACACATATTTATTTCATTTTATTGAAGAGTATTAATACCAAGTTTCGAGTAATCCTGATCATAAATATTTTTTTTCGAATTGTATTTTAACGTGTTTTCCCGACGGAATTATATAAACTCCCGCGATAAAAAGTAGCCTATGTTATTCTCCAGCCCTCCAACTATCTCCACACAAAAAAATCACGCTAATCCGTCACTACGTTTCGACGTGAAAGAAGGACAAACAAACAAATAAACACACTTTCACATTTATAATATTAGTATGGATATATTTGACATATAGTATATATTATGTATGTACATATCTATGTATTGGCTTATGGGGATTAGAATACATACATAAAATCATTTAACCGCAACGACTTCTTTCGTATTAGAATAATTTTCATATGTAACATATGTAGGTACATTATACATAATATATTGGTAAAGCTTAAATTTGAAGACCAAGGATTTACCTAGTACCTACCACACATTCTAAATTTATATAACTAAGTCTGTGACAGTGCAAACATTAAACAGCGGTATCTACAAATGCCAGATAAGCGCCAAATGGTGTGACTAAAGCTTGTGTTGAGAAGATATAGCAGATATAAATAGGCTAAAATGTTTATGACTGTTGTATATATCCTAACAATGATTGATGATGACTTAACATGAATGAACGATCAATTAATTAATTATTTATAACAAAATCACTATGACTACAAGACTATGTTAAATCAGGTATACTTATTTAATTTAACCTTGTTTCCTTAAGTAAAAAGTAAACTAATATAAAACAAGAGCTAAAAGCTTTTACGTGCATTACAAAGGAGGATTATCAATCCAATAGGCATTCGTTTACTATATGGATCAAATAATACTGATATTTATAATATAAATTGATAACTAATATAAATAAATAAAATTGAAGTGTTTGTATAGTGTCAAAATAACAGCTTTTTACTAAATGCATATGAAACTACTCGTATATACGGTACTTATAAGAAAAACACAATTTTTAAAATATTTGTCGGTGTGTCTATTTGTTCCGGCTAATTTCCGAAACGGCTCGACTGATTTTGACAGCACTTTTACTGGCAGATAACTTATGTTATGACTTATGATGATGATGATGTTCTCCTAGCCGATTCCGGCTACGGCGGCCAATCTCATTGAGACTAGCCAACTGCGCAGGAGATATTATAGTGCACAAGTGTACGCGCAGACACAAGTGCACTCTCTATTCATGTCACTCTCATACTCCGGTGGGACGACTGCTCGACACGACCAGTGAGAGTTAAGACTTAGGACAGTGAGAGTTAAGGCTTTACGTGCTCTCCGAGGCACGGGGGTGAAACACCGCCAACTTCCCATCTCCGGGCTGTTACTGAGACTTACTATATAGAAAGACTTAATAACCAAACTTGGCCCGACCCGGGACTCGAACCCAGGACCTCCGAGTGTGCAGCCGTATATGCTAGCCACTACACCACCGAGGCAGTTAATACCTAAGTTACTCTCTATAACATAAGTTTTACTACTAGGCTACTTTATTTTAGAAAAATAATTAGGTCCCCGATTAAAAAATAAAACGTACCTAGGAGCGTCGACGAGCGAAGAGGGTAAGTTGATAGTATTGTAACTTATAATATTCAAGACGATATATTGTATACGTAGATATTTTGCATAAGGAAATAAGGCAAAAACCAACATAATATGTACATACATATGTATATGTTTTCGTGTTAACGATATTATGTATCTTCAATCTTGTACAATATACGTATTATTTGAAAAGGAGGTTTTATAACTTCGTGGAAGGAATTTATGAGAAATCTGCAAATTGAACGAACTACATCCGGTAATATTCGTACCAACATAATGTATAATAAAGTGACCGACTCGCATCAACGTAAGCGTGGTGGCCAATACTCGTAAATATTAACTCCATGTAAAGTGTTAGCTAAACACGACGTGATGTAAAACAAGTCGAATGATCGAACCATTCGTTGGCATTCACATTTCTTGCGTCAGCTCGTCTGCGGATATGCAACTCAGCGGTGTAGTCTTGCACGTTTACAGTGTGAGCAGAAATTTGTTTTTATTTCGATGCATTCATTCAAGTGTTAATACACATTGTTTATGTTATTATTTATTAGGTTATAACTTATAACATATTAAATATGCATTTATACACTTAATGTAATATATTAAAACATATTTCAAGGAATAATTGCAGGGTTGCAAATGAAAATTAAATAAATAAAAGAAAAGTAGGGCGCGCATAAGAACAATAAAAATTTAATAAATCATTTAAATATAATTTATTTCACAAGTCATATGAGCAGTAAGTACCTAAATAAAATTTTAACAAATTATTTGCGCATACTTTAAAACCACTTCATGCGTGACATCATTAACAAATAACAAGGTAAAATAGACTAAAATGCATTTGATGTAAATAAAATCAAAGAAGACATTAAGGAGAATTATAACAATAATTAATCATATGGGCACAGTCTTTCTCAAGGCTTATCGCGTTATTCAATATAATGTGAGAGAAAGTAGCTGTTATATACATACCAGTACAACGTTCTAAATTCGAGCCTCGGTTGGAATAAATATGGCTACGCTGATTTATTAATCTGCTTTACATATTGTGATAGGAGCACTTATAACTGTTGACATCAAAGACTATTACTAAAATGAATTTAAGATACTCTTATTAGTACCTAAACTTCCTATCATGTAAAATGTATCACACTAGTTGCCTTGTTGGTTAAGTGGCTAGCATGTACTGCTGCAGATTTGAATGTCCTGGATTCGAGTCCCGGGTCGTGTCTAATTTAGTTACTGATTTTTTTCTGTGGATGAGATTGCACTCGTGTCTGCGCGCATACCTACTTGAGATTGGCCGTCACGTCGTGTCCTAATTCAGGAGAACATTATCGCACTCGGATGAAGCCTATAAATTTAACCTATAGATTATAGATTTAAAAAGAGATGTGACTTTCAAAATTAATATCACCGTCTCTATATGCCGAATATTACTCAAACAAAAAGAAGAAGATATAACCATATTCACAGTTTCATTTATGATTTTAACACACAACATTTAAAAAATCTTAATATTTTTCATCAATGACTAAGACCAATATTGCAAATGGCAACAAAACACTGCTTTAGGAGGAAAGATATAAAAACTAAACAGTTAACACTCGGGAACAGCCCATGTGATACAGTCAACTATGACGTTATAGTGTCAAGGAAATCCCTCTTTTCATAACTAAGTAAACTATATAATATAAGAAAATGTATACATATTAATATAATTACAATCTAAATTATTTAAAGTTTAAAGAAGGCCTTTTAGTGTTTTGAGGCAGTGGTACTCCAGATAGCGCGCTCGCTTAGGAAACCAAGTGAAGCGGGTTCAAAGATATTTTCATGTGCGAATCATTTCCGACATGATTACCACTTGTCTTACAGTGAAGGAAAACATTATGAAGAAACCTGCAAGTCCGAGAGAACTTAACAACATGGCCAGCGTGGTGAACTATGATCTGAACCCTCTTGTATTGATGTGTCCAGCCCTGGATTTACACTAGGCTAGGGGCACTCGGGGCTATTGCCCAGGACGGCAAATTTTTAGGGACGACAAAATTGTAAGGGTGGCAAAAAGGGCCTCCCCCGTACACAGTGGTACACCGTAAAAAGGGCCAAAATCAATGTTTAAATGTCGAGAATCTCGACTCGAGATATAAACATTCCATTTATTGCATTACACTATAAACAAAGTACAAGTCAGATGTTATGATTTGTCACGTTTACGATT